GATGGGGAATGTCTGGAGGGCGGAGAAGGAGAGGAGCCTGGAGAGGGGTTGGGGCCAGGTCACAATGGGCCTCGAGTGTCCTGTGAAAGAGCTGGGAGTTTAACCTGCAAACAATAGGAACACAATGAAGCCTTTTGAGTGGGGGTGTGAAGCGGGTGGTGGGGGGGACTGCTTAGTTAGGACTTTTGATTTACAGTGAAAGAGAACCTTACTCCAAGTGGCTTAAAGAAAAAGGTAATTGATTGGCTTGTTTAAGAAAAAAATCTAGGGGTATATTAGCTTCAGGCATGGCTGGATCCAGGGGCTTAAATGATGTCATCAGAAATCTGTCTTTCACCCTGGGTTGTGCTTTCCTCTGTGTTGGCCTCATTCCCAGGCAGGCTCCAGGCTTTTCCTCCCACAGTCTAGAACTATGGGTCAAAAAAGAGTGCCTCTTTCCCACTATCCCAGTAAGCTCCCAGGAAGACACTCATTGGACTGATTTGGTTCCAGTGTCCATCCCTCAGCCAATCACTATGGCCAGGAAGATCGAATGCACTGATTTGTCAGGCCTGGGACACATGCTTGCCCAACCTGGTGGAGAGGTATGGTGGGGTGGCTTCAGCTTCATCTGTGCCACAAAGTTTGGGGTGGGGTAGGGCCCCCAAAGGAAACTCAAGGTGCAGTGAGCAGAAGAGGAAAGGATGGGCATCTGTGCGGGACAGATTAAAAGTGGGGAAACCAAAGAGGAGACTGTTCCAGAAGAGAATGAGGGAACTAGAAGAGGCTCCTTTGGAGCGCCTCCTCTGCAGGTGTGGTGAAGGGCCTCGAGCGCCTCCTTGTGGCTGGGAGGCACACTCCACCAGCGGCTGCATCCTGGTTCCGTCGCAAAGACCACAAACCTAGCCTTGAAGGCAAATCCAGGCAGCCTTAAAGGGCGGGGCTGGGCGAAGACATCAGGCCCTTGCAGCCTGAGACACCCCCAGGCTGTGTGTGGACAGCGGTGTGTGGGCACACAGCCCCCTGCTAGGCTCATATTTTAAGTCCGTCTAGAGTGACTGGCATTTCACAGGACTCCACTGAGCCTTGAATGCCAAAGGCAACGGTATTTAGCCTGCTGGAGTGGCCTCTCTGAACTCCTCTGGAGGCCCCAGGAAGAAAAGGAGACTTTTCTTCCTGAGCAACTTTCTCTGCAGTGACCAAGGCTGGTCTGAGGACTTTGTGCTGAGGGCCACCCCGCATGCTTTGCTTGTCTCTCTCGATTCACTTTGTGGGGTGGGTGTGTGCCTGAGTCCTGTGGGTAGGAGTGCCAAGCTCCTGAGATGGCCAGGTGTTCTCTCCTGGCCCAGTGTGTTACCCCTTTCCCTGTCCACTGTCCCAAGAAGGCTCCAGCCTTGTCCTCCTCTAAGATACAGTGAATCCCTTCTTTTATGCCTTAACATCAGCCTGAGGTAGGCTGTTTTTTGGCTCAAGAAGGCCTGTGTCCGATAGGATCAGCTCCTCAGAGGCAAAGAAATTGGTCCTCATCCCTTAAATCTCAGCCAGGCCACACGGCTTTGTGCCCTTAACCTTCACTCTTCTCTCTTGAAGCCCTCTAGTTTGTGGTTGTATATTTGAAGGATTCTTTTATTAAAGCTATTTTCCCCATCTTGGCTATAAGGTCCCTGAGTTCAGGGTCTAGGTCTGGTTTTGCGTTCCCTTGTATTATTGAGGCCTGCGGCAGTGCCTGGCACATAGTAGGTGTTGAATAAATATTATAGTTGCTGAATAACGAATGAATATGGTGGGCACTGGGAACGGCTTGATTTTAGGAGACCCAAATCCTGGCAGCATAGCAGTGGGAGGAATCAGGGCTCTGGATACCATTTTGTCCCCCACTCCATTTTCCAGGGGATTAAATCACTGTTGGGCAGCTTGCTCAAGGTCACCAGGCAGGGCTGGAGCTAAGACTCAAATGCTGAACTTCCAACTCTAGATCTGGTGCCTCTCCCTCTCAAGTACCATGCAGGGGGCTGTGTGGCTGAGGAGGGAACCCTGGCTGCCCAGCGGGCCTGGGGCTGGTTGCTTCTGTGACTCAAACCTGGTTGTTTGCTGAGAGGCTATAGGAGAGAGAGAGAGAGAGAGCACGCACTTAGGAGCCGTCAGCCCTGGGTGGGAATCCCAACTCTGTCATTCATAGGCTGTGTACCTCGGTCCAGTTACTTCATGTCTCTGAGTTTCAGTTTCCTTATCAGCAAAATAGGACAAAACCCTCCCTTCTGAGGAATGCTGTGAGGATTCTGAGAATGCATGGCCAGGGCCTCAGACATAGGCTCTCCAAAACAGCTAGCTCTCATTGACATCTCCTGGCCTCCAAGACAAGGAGAATGAGAGGCAGGGGCTCAGGGAAACTCTGCAGGTGACAGGGGTCCCTCTGCCCCTCCTTAGCCCTCTGAATGCCTGTGTATCCTCACAGACCCCAGGCTACCTGCTCTGTGCCTGAGGTAATGAAGGGCATCTCATTAATGCTCAGCAAAACTCACTAAGACTGTGAGCTGTGCATCAGTGGCAAGGGGAGGTCAAGGTTCCCTTCATGGGAAGTTAGTGCCTCTGGGGCCCTGTGGTGCCAATATTCACAAACAAGGCAAAGGGGGATTTATTTGTAGGCAAGTAGGCAGCCAGGTGTGTGGCCAAAGTTCCCTGGAGCCCCCAAATAGTCACCCACATCCTTCCCCCAGCCTTGCCCCGGCCCTGGGGAGAAAAGCATTACGGGCTGGGAACTGGACAGAGCGGTCACCGCACAGGGCCTGAGAGACCAGGACAGGCCAGTTTTGATGAGGAGAGATCTGAAGTTGAGACTGCCATCCACAGAGGGTGAGCCTGGCGGGGAGATGGGGTGGGGCAGGGGCCCTGGGCCGGGAGAAGCTGCTGGCGGCATGCTGCACGCACTTGCCTTCCCCCTTGGGACCTCAGGGCGCACATCGGTAAGATGGGAACCCGGCTCGCAGGAGAGCTATCGGGGTCACAAGAGAGCTGTGCCAATGCCGGGAGCCCTAGTCACCTGGGTGGGAGGGAGGTGACAGTGACAGCAGAGTCTAGCCTCCTCCACCCTTGACCTGCCTGCCCAACATCCCAACAACACTCTGCAAAGACAGAGGCCAAAGGGAAGGGAGAGCTGTTCTTCAAAGCAAGGAAATGGGCTGAGGGTTTCTCGACCAATGGGCATTATTTGGACTGCATGCAAATGATATGCAAATGACTCTGCCTCCACATTAAAACTAGGTTATTGGGAAGGTCTCAGGACCAGGACTTGGAGATGGCAGTCTTTTTTCTGAGCACCTTCTCAATGTCTTGTCCATTTGCCAGCCCCTCCCTTGTCCCACCGCTCCTACCAGACCTCCTCCCAGAAGCATCCCTGTTCCTCCCACAGTGGTCATTGGAAGGGGCACAATCCTGCAGTCCTATCTCCATCACCCCCAGGTGGAGCCCTGGGTGGGACCACCTGAATCCCTGATCAGCCCCTTCAGGGCTGTGTGGTCCCTAGCATGCCCCCGCCACTAAAGAGCACTACAGTGCTCTTTGCTGGGCTCTGTCAGAGGGCTCAGGTTTCATACAAGGCTGATGGGGAAAACACTTCAGTGCTAAATCTTGTACAAATTCAAGGGTTTCTGATCCAAATTTTCTAAGAACAGGACTCCTGGTTTGACCAGCAACCTCAAATAGCCCTGTAATTGTCATCACCCTTAGTTACAATTCTCCTAGAGGCTGTAACCTTAACAGTGAGCACACACCCTGGGGCAGGCGGGCTGGGGTCAGTCTGGCTCCACCATCACTAGCCCCGTGTCCCAGGCAAGTCCATTTCTTGGAGCCTTGCTTTCCCCATGTGTAAAATAGGAATGAGAGCACCTACTCCTAAGGTTAACAAATGAGCTGACCCATGCTGAACCCTCTTATGCGTTCTATTGTGTCCCCATAAAAGATATGTTGAACCCTGGTGCCTGTGAACGTGAGCTTATTTGGAAATAGGGTCTTTGCAGATGATCAAGTTAAAGTGAGGTCATTAGGGTGAGCCCCAATCCAGTATAACTGATGTCCTTATGAGAGGAAAGGTGATGGGAACCTCAGAGAAAAGATGGGCACGTGAAGGCGGAGGCAGAGGTTGGAGTGATGTGTCTATGAGTACAAACCAAGGGTGCAGGCTATCACCAGAAAGCAGGAGAGAGGGGTGCAATACTCTCCCTCCAAACCTCCAGAAGGAACCAACCTGCCAACACCTTGATTTGGGGTTTCTAGCCTCCAGAGCTGTCAGAAGGTCAAATTCTGTTGTTATAAGGCACCCAGTTTGTGGCACGTTGTTATGGCAGCCCTAGAAGATGAATGCAAACCCTGAGGACAGCGTCTGGCACAGTAAGTGCTATGTGTCAGCGAGTACCATTAATTGCTTGTTTAGTGTCTGTCTTGTCACAGATGGTGGGTCCAAAGGTCTGACATTCCCTCAACAAATACTGAGCACCTACTTGGTACCAGGCATGCACTAGGCAGGGGGCATGCCGTGGCACATCTGTCTTGTATCCCCAGCCCCCAGCTAATATTTACAGATGACCAGGTGAGCTGGCCTGGACACCGCCCTTGATGACATCTTTCCCACTGTCAGGGCTCAGTCCCAGCTCAGTCTGTGTCCAGCTTCCTAAGGCTCAGGGGGCAATGTCTGCCCCAAGGAAAAGAGGTCAGTGCCCAGCACAATGCCAGACACACCCACAGCACACAAAAATGTCCCACCTGGGGAGCCAGATGAGCCCCTTAAAGAAAGGAGCATCTAGTGAGCCCCACTTCCGCAGTGCTATCCCCGAGGCGCCCCCCCCCCTTGCTCTGGGCCAGCAGAGTACTCCATGGCCCTGGGCCCCAGTGGGTCGGGCACACACCCTGGGGCAGGCCCATATCCATCTCCTTCTAGGCCAGCCCCACTCCTCGTGCCAGGTTCTGGTTGGGCAGCATGCAAACACTTAGTTATTTCAATTTTAAGAATATGATAGAGCCAGCGATGCTTAAAATGCTCGTGTTAATGGTGGCGGTCTGCAGTTTCATTTCACTTTAATAGGAACCATCTGCTGTGAGCAGGCAGCAGGCTCGGCCAGCTCCCCTCCCGGGGGCTGTCCCCTTCCCCCAAATTCCACCCCCAGAGTCATATGGGAGAGATGGGGGATCTGTGAGGAAGGCTGTGCTGGGGCCCCACAGCCCCCATGGAAGGTTTTAAAAGGGCCCCTTGAAGCTGGGGCCCAGGGTAGGACATGCAGAACCCCAGGCTGCTCCCTCTGTCCTCTCTGGCCAGGACCAAAAGGCCTGGGGAGGACCATGGCTGTGGTAAAGCTGAGGGGAGGGGAGCAGGTACAGGGGATGTGAGGCACCTGCCCTTGAACCCACTGTGCTTGCTCTTCCTGCAAAGACCCCAGGGGAGGCGTGGGGCTCAGGAAGTAGCTCTGATTCTGCCACTGATCCAGCTACAAGGCAGTCACTTTGCCTCCCGGTGCCTCAGTTTTCACATCTGTAGAATGGAGGCCCTGTAACACCCACATCAGAAGGTTGTTACGAGCACTCAGGCAGTGTGAGAGGGAAACCCCTGCAAAAATAACTTGACCCCCATGGTGACTGGGCACAGGGGGAAGGCTGGTCTCTTCTGCTGTCAGGGGGAGCCCAGTGTGGCTGCCAGCAGCCCGGTGGGGTGGGGTGGCAGCCGGCTTCACTACCCAACTCTGGCTCGGCACTGTGATGAAGGCCACGCAGGCGGGCGTCAGCTCCCTGGCTGGGCCACGGGGCACCTTCCCGCCCAGGCCTGGGAACAAAAGTCGTTGGAGCCAAGCTGGGAAACAAGGTGGCTCTGGGGTCAGAGCACAAGCGTCTCGTCCCTACTCGCTGGACCAAAGTGAGCAAGTCAGGACCCAGTGCCAGGGCTATAGGAAGGTCCCGTTGGGCAGGGGGATCTTATAGCCACTTCGGAGGAGCACGAGGCAGGCGCCCAGCCCCAGGGCACCTGCCAGGAGCACAGCGCCCAGGGCCTTGAGGAAGGAAGTCCTGGTCCGGGTGAAGGAGCCTGGCGCCATGATGCCGAGCAGGGCCGTGCTGACCGTGAGCGTGTAGAGGATGGAGACGCCCGTGTTGAGTGCTACGATCTTGCCGAATTTGGCAAATGGGGCTATGATGCAGAAGAAGAGGGGTACCGTGGCGATGACGGTGGTGAGGGCACTGGAGACGATGGCCACGCCCACGTGCCGCACGGCTTCCAGCGTCCTCCACTGGCGCTGCGAGTGGGCGTCCTGGGTGTGGGCGAGAGCGGAAGCTGGGGCCAGGGGTCCTGATATGACAGCGGGATCCCGCCCTGCCCAGGGCTCTGGATGGGGGCTTGGACCCTGGGTAAACACGCACCCCCTGCCCAAGGCCAGCCCTGCCCCTGGAGGCCCCCAATTCTGCTTCCATAAAGGGGACAATTACAGCAGCTACTCCACAGGGTTGGTGTGAAGATGAAATGGTTCCCCTAGTACAGCGGACAGTGCAGAGTGCACAGGGCACAGTGGG